AAAAAGTGTGAAAAACTTTTGTTCTATGATACAAAAAACCAGTTCTGACCTCTCTGGTTCGTTAGAATCAGTAAATAACCTCTTTAATTTTAAAATTTTGTTTTCTGTTCGAAAAATTGTCTTCTAGTCGCTCATAAACTGCCCTTTTTCAAACTTGGCGGCTGCTGAAATTTTGTAAACTGACAAAATTAAATTGATTGAAACTTATTTATCCAAATAATTTTTAGAAACGTATTAAAACTGGACAACTTTTATAAAATTTGCGTCTTATAAAAAATTGTGAATGAAAAATGGTAACTCAAAACCTTACACTAATCATTGTAAAGTAAAACAAATCCATTAATATTTAAAAATTTTAATTTTCTCAAATAATTTTCTTTGATTTCACAACTTTCTACAAATATTTTTAATTTTAAATATTTATGCCACAAACTTCAAATATGTGTAATAGTTCTGAAACTGTAAGTTGTTTCACCAATATAATTAATCAATACAAGTTGGAAATAACAATAAAAAATTTCGTATGTATACGATGACAACTTATTTTTGTTAAGAGATAAGTTTACCTGAAATTTAGATTGATTGGAAAACTTTAAGAAAAGTTTAAGAATATAGAAAAACTAAAATCAGTAGACAAAATGTAAAGGATTTTCTGGCAGAATAACTATTTTTTGAATAAAGGAATTTATTTATTTTCTGTTCTATTCTTGTATCCCTTTTCTTCTTCTTTAATTTAAGATCATATTGTAATATATAATTATTCTGAATGCTTTCATTTCTTTGAACACAAAAATAATATGCATAACTTATATATCAGGGCTGCAATAAATTGATTTTCAAAAAATTGTACATTGGACCCAAAATCATGGTACCAGAGACAAAAAATGGTATCTGCATTTCTTTTTTGCTGTATTCTGCAGCAATCAAGTAATTCTAAATATTAAAATGTATAAGTAAAACATCAATTAATGAATGAATTTGAAATTTTATTTAAAAAAAAAAAATTCGATACAATGTAATAAAGAAGAGAAACAGTGCCTTCTAAATAAGACCTCCTTAACTTTCAAAAATTTTAATTTAAAGCTTAACATAAATTAAAGCATAAAATTAAAAAAAAAAATCGATTAACAAAATTCTCGAGTTCAAAAAATTAATTCATCTGGTTTGTTGAGAAAAAAAAAATATCGAAATTTTAAAATTTAGTACGTTTGCCAATCTGAAGGTATGTAAGTTAAAGATTTCAAATAATAGTTGTATTTGAGAATCCCATTTCTCCCGGAACAGAGATTATGGACAAAAATTATAAATTAACAAGTAAAAATATTCAGAAGTTTTCGCAAACCCAGTAACAATATATTAATGACAACTATTTTTAACCAAATGACTTTAAACCTATTTTCATTTCACCAAAAAATTGCATGTAATGTTGTAGTTTTTACAGAATTGTCCCACAAATTCTAATTGCCAGGTTGTGACATGATATGGCAAACTATTTTCCTTGTCTTTTTGAATTTCTTTAGCAAAACGGCATTTGTAGTTAGCGTATTAGTAACTAGCGTATTAGGACATATAAAAATTGCTCATGGTGCAAGAATCAAAAAACTGGCACAAAAATAAAATGATACAAAATTTGCCAGCACTGTTATATACGTAAATAATAATAAATTTCATAGAAAATTTCTATAAACCCTTACAAATATACGTCTTACATATGTAGGTATTCCATACTTTTGTATATTAAGTATATGTAGAATACTTACACTACAAAACTTTATTATTATATTTTACTTATCTATATATGTACATACTATACTAATATTTCAGAGATTATAATTATATCTAGCTATAATAATGTATTATAAGAATACCAAAATTGTTTGTAGATTTTAATAATTAACCATGGTTTTTAATAATGTTTCTAGGTTTTGTCTACAAAATTAAAGTACAAAGTACAAACATTCTTTTTTTTTGTGGATAAAGTTTATCTCTTTTGTTCACTTATATATTTTAATTTATATAATATGTACATATACTTATACACATGTTTTGGAATTATATGCATGTATAGGTTTAACAATAAAACTCTAAATAATCTAAGAAATGTATATTACGCTTACAATTTATAAACTACATACATATATGAATATTGGTTTAATATACATGTATGTATGTACGTATGTATATACATAATATTGTATATGAAATTTATTAGAAATGAAGTTCATGGAAAAGTTTCAATGTACCTAAGTTTATAATATCTAAGTATTCGAAAATGTTAAAGCTATACATTAATATAGTATGTATATTCCACGTGTGTTCATTATACCTGAAATTTATATCGTAAAGAGGTTTTGTTTAACAAGAAAATGTTATATTATGTAGTAGAAAAGAGAAAGACACAAATAATTTAAAGAAAAATAAGAAACTTTCAAACAGTTTTGTATTATTTTCGTTACTATACGTATACGTTAAGACTAATGAGTCTACATAGAAAAAAACATCAAAATTAATAAATAAATAAATCCTTGAGAAAACGTTAATTCTATTTGTTTTACAATTTTTTTTTTTTTTTTTCGGCAAGAATACCGAAATTTTGGAATTTAATGTGAATTTTATAATGATCGTCTTTTTGACTTTAATTCCATAACATTTGTACCTGAATCGAAAAAATATTTAATGAACAAACTATGAGAACAATAAAGAAATTAATTAAGGAAAAATAAAGTAGAAAATTTTCTTTTAGGAAATTCATTTTATAATTATAGAAACCTTATAAAAAATTTTTTTTTATTAGAATCTAAGAACCCTGTATGCTACCCTTAATTATTAGTTCTACTCATCTCTTTTTTAATTAATTAAATTCCACATTTTATTCAATCTGAAACTGGAGATATGTTACTATTTTTGCTGCATAAGAATAAAAAAAAAATATTTGCATTACTAGAATTTTTTACAATTATTGTCGTAATTTTCAAGTTTTTAATTTTCTTAAGTAGAAATGTGCTGTTTTAGATATTTTTATTTCAATACTTATTTATATTTTTTAGATATAGTTTTTTTTTTGTTAATTTTCTTCACTAATGGGAACGACCCTGATTTTTCTTTTCTCTATTATGATTTTGGTTTCAAAATCTTTCAAGGGAAATTAAAGATTTTTGTACTAAAATTAAGTTCATTACAGATTTAGAAGTACAAATAGGTATACATAGATATATAGAAATATTTATCTATACCTATTGTGTTTCCAAAATATAAAAGAAAAGAATAAAGAATAGTAAAAATAATGGAAGTGAAAGGAGAGGGGCTTAGATAGGGGTAAGAGAAAAATTTCAGTAAATTAAATTTTCTGTTAATTTTCTTTGTATTTTCTCTCTTTTTTTAGCACTGTTCCAAAAATTTTTGAAAAAAAGTGCTTATTAGTTTCACTCTGTCCGTCCGTCCGTCCGTCCGTCCGTGGACAGAAACTTACTTCTGTACAACAAAATTTTCACCTATCTCCCCCCTCTAGAAGTTATACCCCCCCAAAACCCTAAAAGTGGCCTTTTTTAAATATTTGTTGCAATGAAACCATAAGCATTTTTGAAATTTCGCAAACGCAGAAAGGCAGCGGCTTGCTTCCCCTAGCGCAGTATACTATAGTTAAACTTTAGAAAAACAAAATGGCCGTTGAAATTTACCGTTATCTAAAGTCCTTTTTTTCCAAATTTTTGATGTCGTTTTTCTTCTAGATCCTATATTCTAGAACTTTGAAATTTTAGGGGCTTTTAGACATTAACAAGTAGTTCATTTCGTTAAAAAAAATTGTTTTCCATCTCCACCCCCTCTCAAGTTATCGCCTCTTGAAATTTGTAAAATTTGAATTTTTGACACCTTATATTTCCGAAACCGCAAGCTTTTTCAAATTTCTATAAACGCAAAAAGCTAACGGTAAATTTCATGACATTAAAAAATATAATTACATTTTTTTTGCTGTAATAATGTAGTTATGCAATCCATTAATATTATTATAATTAAGAAAAGCGAAAACTTAGGTTACAAATACGACATATCCAACACCGTCAAACTAATTATTCACAAACCTTTGTTAGTACAATACTTTGTTCACGTCCTTCTATTATCAATTATAACCCTATCGTACCTAGAACAATAGCAGGTATTGCCAATACCAATTTTCATGGTTTCTCACATTAAAGAAAAAAATTAATGCTCAATATTTAAAATTTTTGTTTTCACAATTAATTTTTCTTGTAGGCTTCGTTCTTTATGGTGAATTTTAAAAAATATTAAAGAGGATCTTCATTAACTTACAAAACAAATAAATTTTAAATTTGGATATGCCAGATTTTTAGAAATTTTCAAAAACATAGATATTTCAAAAAAGTTCTCCAATAAAATTAAGAGAGATTTCTGTAACCTACTCAACAGTATGAATATTATGTACATGATCAAATTTGCTAAATTTTACTAAAGATTTTATCTTGAGTTTGTACATATGCAGTTTGAGCTCGTAATAATTTGGGCGATTTTGCTTATTCCCAATAAAGACCTGAAAAAAAAAAATTAAACTTTGAAGATATTTCGTATTGCCGTATTGTATTTTAAAAATATTTTACAATATTACACGTTCCGATTTGTATATAAAACGGATTCTTAAAACGCAAAATAAATCATTCATTAAAAAATTCAGGATGCTTTTTGTAAATTTTTGACGATAATTTATTGTTATGCTGAAAATATAAAGAAAGATGGTATAAATTTTTTTTCGTTGAAAATTTTCATTGTATTTAGTTTTTAATTTCAATATTGCATAAAGCCAGTTTTAAAACTCTATTTTTGACAGTATGGAATAATACCTGTGTTATTAAAATTTTTGTCTCTTAATAATTGCAATAAATAAATTATTACTGAACTAAATATTAATAAACCTTAAAAATTTTATAACAAATATTATATTTGCAAAAATTTTAATTAAATTTTTTTTTACTTTTCTTTTATTTCAGAGGGTGAAACTTTATTAGTATTAGTTAATGGTTCAGCTCAAATAAAATGTGATGTTTCATCAAATTTACCAAATGATCAAGTACTTTTGGTTGTTTGGTATAAAAATAATCTTCCAATATACAGGTAAATTGTAATATAATTTAAAAAAAATTAATATTAAGAAATAATAATGGGTACATAAGTTTTTTTTTTTTTGTTTCATGTTAATATATTTATATTAAATAGTAGAGATAGAGAAATCTTAGAACTTCAGTTTTATTTTAAAAACTGAACTATAATTATTTGTTTAAAAATTATGTCTACGATATACAAATGTTCAATTTATGTAAGAACTAAATTTGCGTTCTATGGTTCTCCGGCATCTGAACATGGTATTTATTTTGTATAACATAACGCATCGAATTTTTTTCTCTGTTTTCTATCGTTTTTTTGATGTCCTATCGAAAAAGGAGATAATTTATTGTGGATTCTCAACTGCTTTAAACTATAATTGGGATGATCCAAAACCAATACTGTTGTTGATTTTGTGTTTGACAAAAGTTACAATATTAAAAACTTATTCAGCTACGAAAACTAAATCAAGTTAAAGAATTTTATAGTTTCGAAATACCTAAGTAATATTCTATCAGAATCGATCAGAAACAAAATATTTCTATTCCTTTATTCAACGATTTCATAGTAATTAATTAAAACAAGAAATTTTTATTGTAAATAAATTGAAAAAAAAAAATATTTTAGGACTTTAATTAAAAAAAAATACCATTTTCCATTTTATATTTATTGGTAATCCAAGGTACGTCGTTTTGAAATGAAGATTTATTAAACAAAATTAGTTTCATTAAATCAAATTTAATTTTAAATTACAAAAATTTTAAATTGATTTTTTTTAACATCAATATTATTTATTCCAAAAAAAAAAAGAACTAATAATAACAACAAAACAGAATTGAAAACAAGGTTGATTTTATAAAAATATAAGCATAACTACTCAATTTATTCTAAAGGGGAAATTAAATTTATTCAACTTTCAAATTAAAATTCGAAGATAATTGACAGAAAAATTACAAAATTCAATTTCGACAATTTGATTTTTACTTATCAATAACAACCACAATGAAACAAAAATGTATATTTAGAGAAGTTTGTTGAAAAGGAATAAAGTTGGGTCAAACCAATGGTTTGTATTGTAGCACTTTTCCGTTCAACAAGTGAAAATTCTGCTTTTTAATACAGTCTTTGTATACCTATCACACTATTAAAATTATTTTCATTCATATACAAAACTATTGCTAGGATTGCATATATTTAGGATGATGCATATATGCAGTCTCTGAAATAAAGCAAAAATTAATATAAAAAGGGGTTAACACAATGCTCGATTTTAAGGGTTAATTGTGTGAGTTAAGAAAAATAATTATATTTTTTAATTTCATGGAATTTACCGTTAACTTTTTGCGTTTATAGAAATTTGAAAAAGCTTGCGGTTTCGGAAATATAGGGTGTTAAAAAAAAAATTTTACAAATTTCAAGGGGCGATAACTTGAGGGGGGGTCTAGATGGAAAAAAATTTTCTTCTAACGAAATTAACTATTTGTTAATGTCTAAAAGCTCCTAAAATTTTAAACTTCTGCAAGCTGGGGTCTAGAAGAAAAACGACATCAAAAATTTGGAAAAAAAGGACTTTATATAACGGTAAATTTTAACGACCATTTTGTTTTTTTAAAGTTTGATTATAGTATACCGCGATAGGTATACTATAGCCTTTTACCTTATGGTTTCATTGCAACAAAAAGTTAAAAAAGGCCATTTTTAGGGTTTTAGGGGGGTATAACTTCTAGAGGGGGGGAGATAGGTAAAAATTTTGTTCTACGGAAATACGTTTCTAGTAAAGATCTATGCACGTACAAAATTTCAGCTTTCTATCTTCAAAGGTGTAAAAGTTTTATAAAAAAAAAGTGTCGACTGACGGACGGACGGACAGAGTGAAACTAATAAGCACTTTTTTCAAAAAATTTTTGGAAAAGTGCTAAAAAAGAAAATTAGGATTGGTAAAATTTTGTATTTTATTAAATTTTGTTTTTGTTTTAAAGAGTTTATTAAAATTCTTTAAAAATTGCTTCAAATAAAATCCGCATTTAAGAATAAACCATATGATTCCTTGTGGGTAAAATTCAATATGCAAGTGCTTTTTATAGTCCAGCTATTCTAGTAAAATTTGAGCATGGGTTTTAAATTTTTTCTAATATTGCAAATTATCTTAGGAATTAGTTGATATAATATCTAGCTTTCGTAAACCATCACAAAACCGAATTTAAATTTTTTTTTGGGGTAGTGGTCCTGATACAGAATTCGTTTATGTAAAATTTCAACATTATAACCTTTATATGTATATAGTTTTCAACATTATGACTGAATTATATATTAATTTATGTGACACTGCTGTCTTTAGATCTTATATAACCATAACTAAATTTTAGTTTATAACAACCTCTTTTGTGCAAAATTTAAATATTCGAGCTTATTTATAGTAGGGTGGAATAGGACTAAATTATTCTTTGAGTGTCACCTTTTTTAAGAGCTCATACTCAACCACAGCTATATTTTATCGAATTTGTGACATTAAACCAAATCACTAAGATTGTTTATGAAAAGTTTTGTTATTGTATGCTTTAAAATTTCTTAGATACGACCTACTTTTGTAGTTTTTAGCAGTTACTTTAATGGAGTTACAAACGAGCGTCACAAACGGAATGGTAATACACACATCTTTTGACAAGGAAATTAATCCATCATATAACCATGTTACCCAAATCTTTGGAACATATTATTATATAGGCTTTCCAACATATTATACGCTATTAATTGACAATTATTTTTTAATTCGTAGAAAAACTGACCATTTTTTACTAAAATTTAATATTTAAAATTTTGTTTTTTTACAATAATTGCAATTATTATTAAATTAATAATATTCAACAATAATTGTGCTGTCATTTGTTACATAAACTAAACAAACAGAAGATCGAACTTCATAATGTTTAATTCGAAAATAATAAAGTTTTTACTTTTAATAGGAATGAATCTTCCTAAACAATAATTATATAATATGGGAATTCTATATATAATTTTATAATAAGCTCTCTTCAAAGATAATTAGGTGGTACTTTGTATATTGTAAATTAATGCATAATCAATAACAAATAATTTATACTATTCACATTCACTATTTACAAATAAACACAACCGAACAACATTAAAAAAAAGCAGAATTTCTAAATTTAAATATCATTTTAATTTTTGTAGTAATTAAAACCTAAAGGGATTTCATATTACATTCAAAATAAACATGAAATTTTATTAAAATGAAAAAGAAAATCATTTATTTATTATCAGATTCTGCCTATACTGCGCACCATTGACTGTCAATATGTAGAATTTCATTTGTATAGAGAAAAATAAATTGTTCCTTATCGTAGGTAGGAACTTTAAAATAATAAAAAATTTTTATTGGTTGACTAATTACTTAACTATTACTTTTGCTGTTTTAAGAATGTCGGTGCTTTTAGATATATGTGTTATCGTTATATGCTATATTTTAAATGATAGAATAATGTAAAAGTCGAACATCAACCCGGCAGCTATTCGAAATTTTCCAAGATTAAAAAAGCCTGATTTGAGCCCACTAATTTTCGTAATAACTCAATATAAATAAAATTTATTAAGGGTTTTAAGGAATTTTTTTTGACTGTATTTAGCTTCATATTTGAAAAATAAATTCATTGCCAAAAAAATATGTGATTAGAGGAAATATAATATTATTATTTTTGTAATAATTTCTATTTCTAAAATGTATAAAAAGTGTTTTAGATTTTTTTCTATTTGGCTCTTCATCTGTTTATCCTATGCCTGTTCGTGTGTCTATTTATCAAATATCCCTTATATCCTTAGCTTTATGTACAATGTACACAAGATTTTATGTATAAAGAGATCTTTCTGTGATACCTATTTCTTCAAAAGAATATATGTTATTTGTTTCCCATAATAAAATATCCCCTTAAAACCCTAAAAATACCATGTTTTGATAACTTATTATATGTCAAACACACAAATTGTTTGATCCAACTGCAAAATAGCATAGAAAAACAATACAATAACGATGTTGTTGTTCAACTTAAACATTTTATTTTCTGTATTTTTAATAAACTTGCAACTATACTATTTGATATGCAATAGTTGAAATTGAAAAAGTTAATTATAAAATTAATTTTATTTACTACTCTTATTCCCAAAATCTCAATTTTATATTAATTGAAGTATTTTCTCTCATAGAAATGTGCTACTTTAAATATCCTTGTTTTAATACGAAATTATAAATTTTTGGTTTTTCATGTTCTATATTAAAGGATTCTTTTTTTTCGGATTTATTTTTGTAAGTTTTAATTTAATATAATTGTTTAATTAGAGTAAATATGGTATTTAATGGGAAATTGTGATGCAAAATGTTATTATTCGAGCAAGAATGAATTTTCAATTCAATTATATTGCAATTTTCAATTTACTAATCGAACTTGTTTATTAAATTTTCAAATTATGGTTAATTTTAATGCCAATTTTATATAAAATTACTGGATTGAAATTATTTTATTTATTTTTAAATAATTACAAAATTGTACCTAATCAATGCATCCTTTGTGCTTATGTTTACATGATAATAGAAATTGGTGTTTGAAAATTTATAGAAAATCTTGAATTTAAATAATTATCAAATTTTGTTGTATAATATATGCGCTTATCATTTAAATTAACAACATTACATTTAAAATAACAAAATTATTTTTATAGAAAGAAAATTTCATTTCTCAAAATACAATAACTTTAATTTTATATTTGCATATTATAATTTTTTCACCTTTAAGGATAATTTTTTAATAAAATTAATTATATTATAATGAAATTATACTGGAAACCTTTAACATGTCCTCCTCTTTTACCAACCTCCTAGTTGAATAATCAATACTAATGGAGTTTGTTTTTTTTTCTACAACATCATGAAATAATTATCTACAATTTTCAATTGTTGTTTTTTTCTTTTTTGTTGTTTTCCTTATAATTCTTCTGTTCTT